CAAAGTCGAAGCGACGTGCCTAATGCGAAACGAATTCTAGGGTGAAACTGGAAACAAGCGGGTGCCCCCCGGCTGCAGCTGCTTCTGAAGTCCAAGTGGTCAGAGGCTCAAGATGTGCCGGGCAGATAGGAATGCGCAGACAGGCAGGGCGACCCGAAATGGCGGTGCGAAAAAGGCAGCAGAAGACCCTGAGAAGCGAGGCTGCCCAGGAGCAGTACTCGCGCATGCGCTTCAAGGGGCCCGCAGGGGGCGTCAGAAAATGACAGGGCCCCAGAGGAGGCGGCGGGAAGGAAATATAAATCCCTTGGCAGCGAGCAGCCTCAAAGCCACAACTGTTCAGATCAACAGGGAGTCTTGCACAGTTGCTGAGGCCCCATGCCGAAATCCAGGCAGGACATGGTGACCCAAGATGCAGGACATAGGCACCAGTAGCTGGATGGCGGATAAAGGGGCAGAGCAGGCGTGGCTGAAATGGCATCTCAGGATCCGTGACCTCCTGCTCCTTGCCCCCGACCCGGGTGCATACATGCTCGGGAGAAAGCACCAAAAGCACGTCGGAGGCAAGCTGCCGTAGGTGCGCACACTCAAGACTTTCACACCAGAAGCGAACAGTATTGCGCAAAACAGGGAGCGGGGCCACATGAGAGACAATCTCATCATACAGGTCCTGATCCTCCTCGAAGTGAGAACTGTAGAGCGCTTGTTCCAATGATCTGCAGAGCTCAGGCCCAGCGGCTGGGAGGTGCTCGCGGCCCCAACCTCTCACGGAGGGGGCCTGGGCATGGCCAGCATTTGCACGCCTGGAGGAGGCATCATCGGCCGCAGGCTGATGCAATTCCAGGAAGCGCAGGCATCGGGGCGAACCAAAAAGATGCACCCGCAGCTTTGCCTGGGAGGCATATACTGACCCGCAGGCCTGGCACTGCCGACCAAGAGCAAGCCGTGTGGCTGGGCACCGATAACCATGGACCTTCTGTGCATGAACCCCCCACTGTCGCCTTGTGGGGAAAGCAATCCCGCATATGAGGCAGCCGTGTTCAAGGCCTGCAAGACCGGCCCTAGGCGCGTCTTGCCTTGGCTCCCATAAAAGGCGCACAACAGTGTCAAAATCAGCCTGGAGACCGGTCTTCAAGGCGTGCCATGCATCCGCGCGCTTGAGCAAGCCCTTCCATTGGCCCGGGCGGTCACGCATGAGGCAAGCCCACCTGTCCCAATCAGAGGCTATCGGCCCCAGCTCACAAGTACCTCGAACGGCCTCGAGAGCCCAGTCGCTCGCCGCTGCAATGGCCTGCTGGTATGCGGAGAAGTGCCCCAGCAAGGCCCACAGTTCATCGGGCCCGTGCCGGACAAGCTGCCCTACGAGCCTTAAACGTTCGGTGTGCAGGACTGCCTCGGGGGAGGAGAGACCTGTCAGACAAAGCAGCTGCGCAGTGGTGTAATTCCATTTGCCGGCAGCGCGCAGACCCAGGAGTTGTCTGTAAAGGCCAACAAGGCCGCCGGAGAAGGTGCGCCACTCCCCGGTGGCCAGCGTCGGCCATCCACCAATTCCCGCAGTCAGGGTGGCGATGACGTGGCTCCTAAAGAAAACCGCCCGCCTCGTCACAGGAATGTCTCGGCACGCGAAAAGACGGCGTCGCCCATCGCGAAAGGCGTTGCGCGCCAGGGCAAGCCTGTGGCGCACCTCAGCACCTAGGGAGCCGTCATACGTGATGATCGACCCAAGGTGCCGATATCTAGACACTAGGTCAAGCCACTGTAACCCCTTGCTCTCCGGCCATGCTGGCACGCGACCCTTTAGGACGCCGAAAGCCTCGTGCCGCGCCGCTCTTGAGCCATGACCAACGTGAGCCATGATAGCTGCCGTCTTAGTTGGCCCCAAATTGATTCGCAATGCATGCGGTGTCAAGGTGTCAAATGTGTCAGCGACGACAGCCGACACAGTGGGCCTGAGCTCGGCAGCGGCGTTGCAGACGATAGGGGTGCAGAGGTCATCCGCGTACACAATGTCGGAGATATTGCATAAGGCAGCAGGCGCGGAAAAGTTAGGAAAGAGTGTCCGTGCCCCCGTCCATGGCACGGAGGGCATTGCGGCCTGCAGTGCGCTAGATCGCCGGCGTCGTAAAGCTTGTCCGAACAGGAGGCTGAACAGGACGTCTGCCAGCGTCCCGCCGGGTCGGGTCCCGCGGTGTGTTGCAATCATGTCGGTGTCCCCCGACAGGACAAACCATGTGTGCCGGTGGAACTCGCCTGCCAGTTCCTGCAGGAGCTGAGGCGCATCCTGCTGTGGCAGGATGGCCTCCTGCTCTATGAGCCGCGTGAGCTCCTGCATGTCGGACACGTCGAGCCCCAGAGCTTCTGCGATCTCGTGGACAGGCCGTGACGAGAGCCCTCGTCCGAACAAAGTCTCGCGGATAACCGCATAGTAAGCACTCGACAGATCGACGAAGATCAGCGCAGATGAAAGG